CACCCGGCACCGTCACTGCCCGCCCACCGCCTTCGATTCCGGCCATATCCGTCGATGGAATGACGCCGCCGGGCCGCTCCAGACCCGGGTGCACCGTGCTGCTTCGACGGCGCCCCGGATCCGCCGAGCCGAGCCACCCCCGGGTCGCCGCCGCCCCGGATTCGCCCAGCCAAGCCGTCCCCAGTCGCCGCCGCCCCGGATCAACCGCCGCCGGGGAGTCCTTTTCTGCCCCTTCTAGTTCAATTTATCGAACGGTTTGCACATGAATTTTCGTTCATGCGAGATCGGGTGCGATTTATACATGAATTTGAGTCCTTGCAAGGAAATTTTTTCTCGAGGATTTGTCCTCGTCCGACGACTCTGACGTAGAGTTGTTGCTCAAGAGCCATCGGCGATAGATTTCGATTCATCATCATGATCTTGTTCTCCTCTTGAAGGAGCTTGGCCATGGCTCTGTTCTCCTTGGCCATGGCTCTTCTCTCCTCAATGGCGGCCTTGCGCATGGCTTCCTCCTTGAGTAGTTGCCACTTATCTTGCTTCTCTTGAGTTTTCTTGTCGGCCAACTCCTTCTTTGCCTCCAATGTCTTGATCAGCAATACCTAATTGGACTTGACCATGTGATCTAGATTGTCCCGCAAGCTTAATGCCTACACTTCACTCTTGAACTTGTCCTTGACCTTCTTATTTCCACTGGGCTTGTTCTTGTTTCTTGGGCCATCATCATCTTCATCATCATTATCCATCTTGGTGAGTGCACCTCTTTTAGGTGGGGATTCTTTGTCAATCAACTTTCACTTCTCGCTATCTTGAAGAAGTTTCCAACAATGCTCTAGTTGAAATGACTTGCGACCGGAAGCTTCCATGTCCTTGTACCTTTCTTGCGCAATTTTGTCCTACAAAATGAAAACAATGTCAAATTATGCAACCACTGCCACGGCTACAAATGATTTACACAACTTGGGACGTGAAAAAAAACTCACACAATCGGATTCAACGGTACCACTTGGAGGTGCATTGCGACTTGCTGCAAGGAAGCAGCCCAACGGCTACAAATTGGCTTGATCACGTCCCAACGACCTTGAGTGACCTAAAGGTGCGTGGCGTCCTGTTGGGATACTTTGCCATCATGCGCAAGAAATGATCCTCTATCCTTTGCCAATACCGCTTGGCAGTTGGGTTAGTGCCGGTGCACGCATCAAGAGGCACCGATTCCCAAGCATTGATCAAGATTTTATCTTCCAATTGTGTGTAGTTCTTCAATCTTGCGCGTGATTTTGCTTGCGCTTCATCAAACACCCCCTCGTCAACCTCCTCCACCTCATCTTGTTCCTCACCGTGACCGTGCACGCCACCATCCATCTCATTGTAAACGTTCAGCGATGGGGCTTGATCGATGTCGATGGTGTTGTCGTCCAACAAGCGCATAAAGTCGGCAGTTGCATCATGCAAACCGGCGCTACAATTTCGCTCAACAAGTGACGAACAAGCACAATGACGAAAAGTGAAACAACTAGAAGAAATTGAAGCATCATAGCTTGCACCCATTTTGCCGAACACCTCGGGGGCGGCGGCGGCAGAGTCGTCAGCGGGCATCCTCGGGGTAGCTCTTGCCAGGGCAATCGGGGGAGGTGTTGGCGGGGTAGCTCTTGCGGTGGGCTTCTTGCATTTCACACCCGAAACATTCCCTTTCTTTGCTGGCGCGGGCCGGACCGGATTCGCAGCGGCGGTGGGCGCGCATGCCTTCCCTGCGGGGCCTATCGGAGCACTGCCCTGAACAACGACGTTGCCCTGCCGCTTGTGGGGCGGCGTGGTGGAGCCTTGAACGCCGACGGGCGTGACATGGCCATCGACGAGATCTGCCGGAGGCCAGGTTGGCGCGTGGACGACTTCCACAGTGAGGGGCGACGGCTGGGAGATTTCCATGGCGGTGATACAAGTCGGGAAGGTGGTCCGGAGCGGGCGGAGGGAGGTCGATGGCGGCAGAGGGAAGGGGAAACGGGAACTGCCGCGCAGAAATGTCCCTCCCGCCAAATATCGCTGCCGATAGGGGTCAAGCTCGGGTCATCCTCGCACCCCGTTTATCTAAAGGTTGACGGCGAAGATTTGCCGCACCCCGTAAACTTTTTCACAGGCCGCGGTCCGATACAATGTCTGTTCGGACCAATTTTTCTGACCAAAACCGTAAACTGGCGGTTATTTTACGAGTCGACGCGATATAAAAGATCTGTTAGAGATGCTCTAAAGCCAGTAGCAGACTGTGGTTTGATCGGCTCATAATAAGCCTCCCGCTGCTACTCCCTCCGAAATCACTGGTTATGTTGTACTCCTAGTTGCCTGAAAATAGCGGCTCACTGGAAATCACACTGTACTGAAAACAAGATGTGCTGGTCAGTTTCAGAACATGGATTCCTAGAACTAACCTTACTAGCTAGCGCCACTTCCCTTCCGTAATGGACTGCGCAAGGAAACAGCACAAGAACATCAGTCACTGTTGCTCTTTCTCCGTTTTGGTTTCAGGTTCTCAAACTGAACTCTTCTTCAGTAAGCAGGCTGCCAGCAAAACAAACAGAAAGAACAGAATGAGAAAGCGGCATATGGGTCGACTGGCCACGCCAAGCCCGGCCCATCCTCACTTAAAAAAGTTAGCGAATTTAGAAAACTTTCATCGATTTCAAAAAATATTCATGAGTTTGAAAAATATTCCCGTATTTAAATAATATTCATGAATTAAAAAAAATTCGCAAACTTGTTTATTTATTGTTGTACTAGATAATCATGTATATTGTCTCTTACTGAGAGTGTTTCGAAATTGCATCCATTCTTTTAGGCAATTTGCACCCAAAGATTTTTTCAGAACACGGCGCAGATCAACTGTTAGATAAGCATGCGCAGGTGCGTGCCCCGTGAATTTTCGCAGCCATATGACATTTCAAACTGTTGAAAATAGCCGAATAGAGTAACATGATCCACGTGCATGCCACGAAACAAAGGAGGAAACGAAGTAGACGAGCGAATTGATGGAGACTAAAGTTTTAAAATCCATCGTGTGGGTGTGTGATTTCATTTTTTATGCGTGCATCGCATATCATTGCCCGACGATCAGTGGAATCTTATGTCTGTGTGGGCTTTTCTCCACAAGTGTGGCCACACGTGAGTCACATGAACCCACGTTGGAGGAGTCGCTCATCTTTTCTGATCCTTTTGCTGCTGCCGGATGGACGTAGAGTCCTTTTGATGTCAAAAAATGTTATTGCATGTCTGTCCAGCAGAGGCTGATCAATCAAACAACAAAAAATAACATGGGCGTGTTACAACCCGGTCGTCCAGCGATCTGCTTTGGATGGAATTGTGACACCTAGCAAATTGTGCAGACGAGAATAACTAGGGTGCTGGTCGAAAACACTGATCCCCTCTCAGGCTCTTTAAATCCCACTCCCACGCACGACTGGACTCAGCAGTTAGACCTCACCAGTGACCATCAGCTAGTTCCTCTCTCTCTCTCTCTGTCCAATGGCTCGCGTCGTCGGCGTGCCGCCGTTCCTCCTCGTCTCCCTCCTCGCATTATCGTCCGTGGCCCTTGCCGACATGGTGCTCGGCCGCAAGGGCAGTACAGTGGAGGAGCCCGAGCCAGCGGATGTGCAGTTGCCGGGGGTGAGCAAGTACGCTGTGATCTTCGACGCCGGGAGCACGGGAACGCGTGTGCACGTCTTCAAGTTTGACAACAAGATGGAACTCCTGAAGATCGATGACCAGGTCGAGGTCTTCGCCAAGGTATATACACACATGCATGCAAAACTCACACACGTGCATGCAAAACTCACACACATTTGTTCGTAATTGGTGCAGGTGTCCCCCGGGCTGAGCTCCTACTCTGGGCGGCCACTGGAAGCTGCCAAGTCCGTGATACCACTGCTCGACAAGGCAAAGGGCACCGTGCCTTGGTGGCAAATGAACAGAACTCCTCTTAAACTAGGGGTAATATGCAAGTTTCATTAAAATGAAATTTTATCTTTGAAAAAGAAAACTCATACTGTATTTATTTACTCCAATTTAAACACTGACCGCAAGATACTAAGCAGGCCACGGCTGGGCTGAGACTTATCGGAGATAAGCAATCAGAGCAGATCCTGGAAGCGGTAATTCTCTCTTTTACTAATTAGCAAGGAAAAAATAGCGCACTACAGAAAAATAGCGCTGGTCTTAAAATACGTTACAAGCGTGCTATATCGCGCTATTAGCGAGAATTTGTGCATTAATTTATTTAGCGAGACAATTCTTAAAATACGTTACAAGCGTGCTATATCGCGCTATTAGCGAGAATTTGTGCATTAATTTATTTAGCGAGACAATTCTTAAAACGCTATAGCACTCTATTTTTTCCAGTGCTAATTAGTGATGTACATACTGCATACATAAATAGTAATCTAAATAATAACATGTTCGGTTTGGTCAATCATTTTTGGTACGATTTTGCAGGTCAGGGATATTGTCCACACCAAGAGCAAATTCCAGTACAACTCAAAGTGGATCAATGTTCTCGAGGGATCTCAGGAAGGCTCTTACATGTGGGTATGTATATGCGTGTACATAATTTTTTGTAAGAAATTAAGATTCTACATTTGTTTGGGGGAGGCGTTTTGGTCCCTGGGAGCGCATGCTCCCACGTGAACAGTACCTGGAAAAAACAGAAAATATGTTTAAACATTTTGAATATTTTTGTAGATGTTCGTGTTAGTGTCGCAAGCATGCTTGGCAATTTTCATGCGAAACGGAGCAGCAGTGTTTCGTCGGTGAAAAAAGAAATTTGGAGTGACATTTTGGGGTAACATTTGGTGTTCAATTTGTTTTTGCATTGACCAAAATGTTTAACCTTTTTGCCTCAAAATTTGTAGATAGCATTTGGATGTCACTATGAACACATAGAATTTTTGTTCGGAGCTTTTTGGACATTTCAAAAATAATTTCTGCGTGCAGGAGCACGTCCACCCAGGAGCCAAATTGGATTTGCGCATTTGTTTGTGTTTCTGTATCTAAAGGCGAAATTTGGTTATATTTTTCTGTTCATATGTATGCAGGTTGCTCTGAACTATCTGTTGGATAGATTGGGAGGAGACTACTCCAAGACGGTAGGCGTGATCGACCTTGGAGGCGGCTCCGTCCAAATGGCGTACGCCGTCTCTCCAAACGCTGCCGCAAACGCCCCGGCGGTGCCTGATGGCAAGGACCCTTACATCACCAAGGAGTACTTGAAGGGAAAAGACTACAACGTCTACGTCCACAGGTCCATCATCTGTCTCACCTCACGTGAATGTATTGACAACATGCTTAATTCATCATACTTTTAACATCTCATCATACATAAAAAGTAAATTAGGTAGACACATGAAACAAGAGCAATTTTTAGTAGTCTTTAATTTATTATCAAAGTTTTAAATAGTAGGCTATAGCATTGCTATAGCTGTTTGAGCAATGTGCGGCTAAATGAATCCATATGCAGCTGCACTATAGGCCGAGTTAGCTTCACTTTAGTGTCCCTGTAGCTGATTTGAAGGATTAATTATCACTATTTTTCATAGCCCGGTATTTAAAATTTATTGATTCTGCAGCTACCTGTACTACGGCAACATGGCTGCTCGCGTGGAGATCCTCAAGGCAAAGTCGGGCCCGTTCAGCTCGTGCATGCTACGCGGATCCACCGGTAACTACACCTACAACGGCGAGGTATACGAAGCGGCGGCCGCGCCAGAAGGCGCCGTATACAGGAAGTGCAGGAAGGAGGTAGCCAGGGCACTGAAGCTAGACGCGCCGTGCGAAGCCAAGAACTGCACCTTCGGCGGCGTGTGGGGCGGCGGTGGCGGCGCCGGGCAGGCGACACTTTATGCAGCCTCCTCCTTCTACGTCAAGGCCTCCCAGGTCGGATGGGTTAAGAAGGGCACCCCGAGCGCCAGGTCTAGCCCGGCGGCGTTCAGGGCAGCGGCGGTGAAGATCTGCCGGCTTAGCCTTGAGGAGGCGCAGACGGCCTATCCCGGGGTGCGCGAAGTGCCCTACATCTGCATGGACCTGGTGTACCAGTACACACTGCTCGTCTACGGGTTCGGGTTGACACGGGCGAGGGAGATCACCCTGGTGGAGAAAGTGAAGCACGGGGAATACTTCATGGAAGCCAAGTGGCCGCTCGGCGAGGCTATCGAGGCCGTAGCGCCTAAGAAGCGCATCCACCAAGATCCGGTGAATGTTGCACGATCGCTAATATGATCCAATCACTGCCTCGTATCTGTAGTGATCTTTGTTTTCCAGAATTTTCAGCTTACTCATCTATAATGGTAAATTTTTGATATACCAGCAACACTCTCATTTATGTTTCTAAGAAACTGTTGCGAGCATTAGCCGGCCTAAACCACCTTCAGTTAAGCCAAGTAACCAAATACAACAAACGGCTACAAGATCAGCACATGCCACACATGTTGGGAACCCGACCACCCTCAATCTTACCACACACACGTCACAAGAAAGAACATAAAACGGAGGAACATAACCTAGAATGAGCTATACCTAACGACACACAAGCCTTACTCAAAACCTAGCACCGGAGAACAGAGCAATAAGAGTAGGAATGGGTGTTGTTGGATCAATCGATAGGAATCCCAAAGTCAAGAGAAGACGAAGAGAAAAACTCACCCGTTTAAAATCGCTCGAGAAAGGAAATCATGGCAACCAAATTTGAAGCAAAATTTTAGCCTTAATGAGCATGATCTCCCATGATGGTAGCCTGCATGTAAATCATGGAGTGATTTTCGAGCGGCGATTGCACAACATTCGTTTTGACCGCGATTCAAAATCATGCTCTTAAACCTTTGGAACTATTGCACCTCCTCTTGGCCTCAAAGGGCATCCAGCACTGAGGCTATATATGTCGCGACCCCGAGAGCGGCTGATGCTATAGCAGACAGATATTCGACCGAGATGGCTATTGCACCTCCTTTTGGCCTCGAGATCAACTACCACCAACAAATAAACGATCCTTGAACACTATGCAAGGTAGTGATAAGCTCATACGCCATCAAAGGACAATATTCACTATGATAGGCTGTCACAGAGACATAGAACACATCCCTGGCAACCACCAATCGCACCCATGGACTTCATACCGAAAAAACCCTGCTCCAACTAAGACATCAAACAATTGATATCGGATCATTGGTTCCAAGGCGAGCCCCCAAGGCGGCAACGACATCAGGGATGATGTCGATACCCGATCTAACAATACAAAATTTCCTCTATTAAGTGACAAAACCCTGGCAACGAAATAGAAAACATCGTCTAAAATCAGGGCAGCACCCTAGCCAACTTTGGCTACATTCTGGCATGATTTTCGGTGACTCTTTTTGGTGTCACTATGCACATCCATTTTCTGGGACGGTTCGTGGTGTCACTGCAAATATTTGTGAAAGCACGACTTTACTCCTAGTGGGGGACGGGGGGAGGGGTGGTGAATGGGAGATTTTTATAAATTCATCAAACTCTGAGGAATTTCACGAAGATCAGAGTGAAGAAATAGAAACGCAAGAGGGCTAAATCATCACAGAATCAGAAAGCATGCATACAAGATACATACAGGTGAAGAACATGCAATCATACAGCCATACAAGCATGAGGAAGATGAACTAAAGAAATGAAAAACAACATGATAAAAGTCTTCAGTTCAAGTTCGTCAGAAAGTATATCACAAATTCTTCAGCAACAGAAATAGTAAAGTAAGGATGAGGAATTTGAAATTAGGTTGGCTCGGTGAAGACACAGCGATTTGGTAGACCAGTACCAGTTGCTGTATCAACTGTACGTATGCTTGAGGCGGCTGAGATGAACTCATAGGACACACAGTCCTCACCCACTAGTAGAAAACAGGGCATCAGTCCCGGTTCCAGAGGGCCTTCAGTCCCGGTTCTGCAACCGGGACAAAACGATCGGGACTAATGCCCATCACTTTTAGTCCCAGTTGGCTTACGAACCGGGACTAAAGTTGCTGCACGTAGCCGCTGTGGGGCACCCAGGCAGGAGCACCATGAGAGAGCCTATGAAGAGAGAGGGAAGAGTGAGGGAGAGAGGAGGGATTCGGCCGAGGATATGGGGACTTCACCTACCTTGTACTTAGTAGTAGCGAGGGGTATGAACACGCACTACTACTATCACTTAGTAGTAGCACGTGTTCATACCCCTCGCTACTACTAT